GGTTCTGGTGGAGCCCGGCCTCCTGCTGAGGTTCTGGTGGAGCCCGGCCTCCTGCTGAGGTTCTGGTGGAGCCCGGCCTCCTGCTGAGGTTCTGATGGAGCCCGGCCTCCTGCTGAGGTTCTGATGGAGCCCGGCCTCCCGCCGAGGTTCTGGTGGAGCCCGGCCTCCTGCTGAGGTTCTGATGGAGCCCGGCCTCCCGCTGAGGTTCTGATGGAGCCCGGCCTCCTGCTGAGGTTCTGATCCACTGCCTGGTTCTGATCTTTGTTCTGTGTCTGCAGACAGCGGAGGGCTGATGGAGCGGCCGTGTTCGCTGACAGGAACCCCAGAGAGCATCGAGTGAGTCCCACCTTCATCAGAACCTCTGAGGTTCTAGAAGACGGGTTCTGTCCGTCATTAGAACCTGAACCGGATCTGTTCTCGCTGTGTGTTCCAGGCAGGCCAAGCGGCTGCTGGTGCAGATCGTGGAGCGGTGTAGAAACGGGCCGGGTTTCCATGGAGACGGGGACGGAGGCACGGCGGTCCAGGAGATGCTGATCCCGGCCAGCAAAGTGGGTCTGGTGATCGGGCGAGGAGGAGATACCATCAAACAGCTGCAGGTGAGGAGCGCTTCTGCTCGCCCCGATTACGCCCAGGACCCAGTCTGAAGGTGTTCTGGTTCTGGTTCTCCCAGGAACGGGCCGGGGTCAAGATGATGATGATCCAGGACGGGCCCATGCCGACCGGAGCCGACAAACCTCTCCGCATCTCTGGAGACCCCTACAAAGTCCAGGTAGGCGGAACCAGCGCTACGAGAAGGTTCTGGGTCAGAGCTTTGATGCAGTCTTTGATCTCCACAGCAGAACCAGGTTCTGGTAGATTAGAGCAGAACTAGACTAGAGGTCAAAGGTCACTGGTCAGTCAGAGCCATCCAGGTTCATCTGGTCTGGAAGGTTCTGGGTTCTTCCGGTCAGAACCTTCGGAGCAGCAGGATCTTCTGGGTTGTTGCGGTTCTGCTGCCGACCCAGAAACTGATCCCGGCTTCTCTCTGTAGGCCGCCAAGGAGCTGGTTCTGGAGGTGATCCGAGAGAAGGACGGAGACTTCAGGGCCGGACGCAGCGACTTTGGAGGCCGGCTGGGAGGAACCAGTTTGGACGTAAGCGGAACCCGGCTCAGATCTCAGATCGGCGCCGCCGCCGCGCCTCACTCCCCTCTGATCCGATCCATCCACAGGTTCCGGTTCCGAGGTTTGCTGTCGGCATCGTTATCGGCAGGAACGGAGAAATGATCAAGAAGATCCAGAACGACGCCGGAGTCCGAGTCCAATTCAAAGCAGGTCAGAACCGCCCGTCTGTGACCCAGAGAGGAACCCGAGCGCTAACCGCGTTAGCATGCATTACCCACTCATTACTATGAAGACACTGTACTAGTTATTATTAGGAACACTTTTACTAACGTTCCTAATAACTATAATATTAGTTAAATAGTTTATTATAAACTAAATAATATTGTTTAGTAATATATAATATTAATAATTACAGTAACAATAAAGACAGTATTTAGTCCGCATTATGGAAGTTCTGCTTAGAATAATGAGAGGTCTGTCGTTTTCATCGTAGGTAAACTTCAACTATGAAATAAAATGAGAAAAAGAAGGAAATCACATATTGGAGGAAAATTAGGGAAGAAACATTCTTATTTTTATACACGGAATTTAAAACACAAGTTTACACATTAAATTCATTTCTGCAAAAAATTTGCCTGCAAATGTGTTGATCTTTTAGTGAACTCCATCCAGAGCAATCTCCACTCCATGCAGTCCAGCAGCTTCTAGCCAATGAAATCCGCTCATTTGGTTAGAAAAAAATAAAAAATGTTTGCAGCCGGCCGCTTCTTCCGGATCAAACCAAGAGCCTTGGCAGACGGGGGTGCTGCACTAGCTGTGATGGGCTCAGTTATTTCACTCAGTCCCATTAATGGTGGTCTATTAGTAGCTAGCTGACGTTTTATAATAATATCTATTTAAAAAGGAAATCTCCTCATTCAGCCGAGAACAAAGTTAAATCCTACTGTTGTCATGTGACCAAATGAGCTAATTTGATTGGCTAGAAGCTGCTGGACTGCATCGAGTGGAGATTGCTTTAGATGGAGTTCACCAAAACGTCGACAGATGAATTGTTTGCAGCTGAATTTTTACCAGATATAAATTAACTTTCAGATGACGGGATCAGTCCGGAGCGTGTTGCCATGGTGATGGGTCAGCCGGAGCGCTGCCAGCACGCCGTCCATCTCATCAACGAGCTCATCCAGACAGCCCAGGTAAGCCCCCCCTCCCCACCGGAAAACCGGCCCCGAAGCCGGGTCGGAACCGGCTCTGATCCGCGGTCCGTCTGTGCAGGAGCGGGACGGGTTCGGCTCGGCCCTGCGAAGCAGCCGGGTCAGAGGGCGTGGCGACTGGACGATGGGCTCCCCTGGCCCGCTGCAGGAAGTGACCTACACCATCCCGGCGGACAAGTGCGGCCTGGTCATCGGCAAAGGTAGGAGTCACCGGGTCAGCAGCGGTGGGCGGGCCAAAGCAGCCGATCAGAACCCAGTGAAGGTTCCGCGGTTCCTTCATCACTCCGACTGCTCCTGTTCACTGGGAGGGTCCCGCTCACAGCCGCCTGATGGACCCAGAACATCAGAAGCTGATAACAGCCACCATGCCGTGAAACCATGGCAACCAACCATCCAATCCACTCAGAGAGCCCATAGGAACCCGCTCCACCAGAACCAGATCAGCCGTTGTTCTCATCATCATCCTGTTTCCTCTGGATGATCCTTAGATTGTCTCCACGGTGAGAACATCTCCTGCCCTCAGATGGACCCGCAGATCTTCATTCAGAACCTCCTCCAGGTGTTGCTGTTCTTTGGTTGGTCAGGAAGGATTTGGGTCCAACTGTTCTGGTCCCATTCAGACTTTCAGTGTGGGGACACTGATCTGGTTTCCTCAGACTAGAACCGGTTTTCCTTCCTGCTCCTGGAGATGTTGATGGATCATTGTTTGAAAAGAAGAACCAGGAATTCAGAACTCTCTGAGGTCCTGGAGGATCTCCTCCTATCTGAAGCCTTTGGACCATGAGGTCCTCTAATGCTGGAATCTCTCTTTGGACCACCACTCGGAGCTGTCCATCGGTTTGGTGGTTCTGAAGGACAGAACCTGGTCAGGAGATGATTCATCCCATTAATCTCAGCTTTGGGTAGAAGCTGTGTAGCTGAAGGATGTGGAAACATCTGGAGGTCTGAGGATAGGTGGACCTCCTGGTTGGAGGACAGTGGTCGGTTGCTGACCTTCTAACTCTGGTGTCTTCATGCAGGAGGAGAAACCATCAAGAGCATCAACCAGCAGTCTGGAGCTCACGTGGAGCTGCAGAGGAACCCGCCGCCCTCCACGGACCCAAACACCCGGGTCTTCACCATCAGGGGCACCGCCCAGCAGATGGAGGTGGCCCGCCAGCTCATCGACGATAAGATCGGGGTACGCAAAGCAAACGCACCCGCCCAGCTAACGGACCCGTCCTGGCTGACCCGGTTCTGTCTGCTCTGCTCTCCTCCTGCAGGGCTCCGGGATCATGAGTAACGGAGGATTCGGCTTCAGTCCCTTCACTGCCGCTCCGGCTGCTCACCAGAAGTAAGAACCTGAACCTTCATCCCGACCGGTTGGTTCCGATCCGGACTGGTTGGTTCCGATCCCGACCGGTTGGTTCCGATCCCGACCGGTTGGTTCCGATCCCGGCCGGTTGGTTCTGATCCCCGATCCCAGACCGGTTGGTTCTGATCCCCGATCCAGACCGGTTGGTTCTGATCCCCGATCCAGACCGGTTGGTTCCCATCCCGACTGATTGGTTCCGATCCCAGCCGGTTGGTTCCGATCCCAGCCGGTTGGTTCCCATCCCGGCCGGTTGGTTACGATCCCGGCCGGTTGGTTCCGATCCTGACCGGTTGGTTCTGTTCCCTGATCCAGACCGGTTGGTTCCGATCCCCGATCCCGACCGGTTGGTTACAATCCCAGCCGGTTGGTTCTGATCCCCGATCCAGACCAGTTGGTTCCCATCCCAACTGATTGGTTCCGATCCCGGCCGGTTGGTTCCGATCCAGACCGGTTGGTTCCAAAGGCTGCCTGTTGTGATGGTGGTCTAGGTTCAGGCGCTGCGCTTGTTGACTAGCGCGGACCTGATGGCGGTCCTTCCAATGCGTCCTTCATTTAGTCCGTTCTGAAGGAGGCATCATTGTTTTCACCCGTTTCCCATGATGCAGTGCGGGTCGAGGAGACTTGGTAACGAATAATCGGTTAAATAATCTGCCTTCTAGGACCCAGAATAAACCTTTACTGTAGGTTAGCTAAACTCCAATATCTACTCGTCATTAAGATCCCTGCTAATTAAAGCAGTCTTTCTTCCCTCCCTCTCCAGGGAAGGCGCCTGCTTCCCTGCGGGGAGCATTGAACTCTCCGCTGGGTGGAAGTTATTCACAGATCGAGATGCTCACCTTTGGCTTTTAGAGACTTTTTGTTGTTGCGTGAATCTTTGCAGGACGTTAAAACTCAGACTCCCAGAGTTCTGATCCTACTAGAACTCCCACCGGCCGTCAGTTTGACGGGTGACATTTTTCCCAATGGAACGCATGAGTAGTGATGATGTCATCAGCTGAAATGGTTCTTAGACCCATTGTGGATATAATATATATTGTTCAAAGGCTGTATTGTACGCTATGATTATTTGTGTTCTATGTGTATGTATGTTTTGAAGGATTTCTAAAGCCTGTTTCACGGTTAGATTTCCTCTAAAAGGATGTTGGTTGCTAGGCAACAATACCAAACGTCAATCAACTGCGGGAAGAAATTACAATGCAACTAATAGAGCCGTCAAAATGAT